AGCAGCAGCAGCAGCAGCAGCAGTGGGTTCAGCAACAGCAACAGCAGCAGCAGCAGCTTGACAAGCAGCAGCAGCAACCCCAATGGCGGGAAGAACACAAGCTGCAAAGGAAGCACAGCAGGCAGCTGTACCACTTGCAGCAGCACGAAGTGGGCCAGCAGCAACAGCAGCAGCAGCAACGGCAACGCAGCAGCAGCAGCGACAGCAGCGACAGCAGCAACAGCAGCAGCAACAACAGCAACAGCAGCAGCAGCAAGCTCCTTACATTCTGTCCCTTTAGGGGGAAGACAAGACACACTGCATCAGCTCGGGTGTACATACACCCCAGCCAGAGGCAGCAAGAAACTGCCATCATGTCTGCTGCTGCAGCAGCAAAGTTGAAGGCAAACGCTAGCAGCGAGCGACGGCGCCGCCACGGGTCGACGAGGCGCTGCTGCTGCTGCTGCTGCTGCTGTTGCAGCTGCTGCAGCTGCTGTTTGCCCACCAGATTTGACGCTGCTGCTGCTGCTGCTGCTGCTGTTGCTTCTGCTGCTGCGGCTGAGTAGACGTGGATTCCGTATTGCTGCTGAATCGCGTCCGATTCTTCAAATTCCTGCTGCTGCTGCTGCCGCTGCAGCGCAGTGTCTATGATGAAGGAAGGAGCAGAACTGTCGCGGCTGCTGTTGCTGCTGCTGGCAGCGCTGGCGTGGCTAGAAGCAGCAGCAGCAGCAACTGCAGCAGCATAGGGGGCCCTCTGCAGCAGCTGCTGCGGCAGCGGCTGGGCCGTCTCTGCGGGTGGCAGCAAAGAGAGAGGCAGCTGGTAGTCTTCCTGTGTGCTGCTGCCCCATGGCAGCAAACTGCTGCTGCTGCTGCTGCTGGGAGCAATAGCAGCAGCAAAATGAGACGCCGGTGGCTCAAGCAGCAGCAAGGGCAACGTCTCAGCTGCACTGGGCAAGCCCCAAACTTGCTGCTGCTGCTGCTGCTGTTGCTGATTTTGCTGCTGATGCAGCAAGTCGTATAGCTCTTGCTGCAGCAAGTTGCCCACGCGCTGTCCAGTCTGCTGCTGCTGCTGCTGCTGCTCGGGGCACTGCAGCAAGGGCTCCTCGTCTTGAAGAAAGCTGGCCCGTCTCGCCTGCTTTCCCCGCGATGCTGCTGCTGCTGCCGCTGCTGGTCTTGCTGCTGTTGCAGCAGCTGCTGCTGCTGGCAGCAGCGGATCTGAAGGAAGCCACTGGTAAGGAGAAGCTGCTGATGCTCCTCCCCACGCCTCT